TTTAGAAGAATAGGGTTATACCCTATAATTAAATGCAATAAAATCCTGAAGTAGGTGGGATTCGTTTACCCTTTAAACTAATATTTTCAGATATACTTAGTACTTAACTTCAAATGATCGCTTATTTTTTCTAAGTAATCATATTTCAAATCGACATAAACTGGGCTTTCATCGTGAATTTGGTTTTTTAAATAAATGTTTTCAGATATAGTCAGTAGCCTGGAATGATCGCTTCTTTTTTTTGAGTGAACGGATTCCAAATCGACATAAACTGGGCTTTGATCGCGAATTTGGTTTTTTAAATAAATATTTTCAGATATACTTAGTACTTAACTTCAAATGATCGCTTCTTTTTTCTAAGTGAACAGATTCCAAATCGACATAAACTGGGCATTTATCGTGAATTTGGTTTTTTAAATAAATGTTTTCAGATATAGTCAGTATTTAGCCTGGAATGATCGCTTCTTTTTTTTGAGTGAACGGATTCCAAATCGACACTTGGGCAAAACGTGACCCCTTCAGAAAGTTGCATTATCATTAGGGCAAGCAATTGTTGCAGTACGTTGTACGAGTACATATCACATATAAATATGCATGGCCATGCCACAACGAGATTAAGAGTCACGCATTGCCGGCATATCACAAATGTACAAATGTATTTATGGGATGGGATGGCGGTGTGTGTGTGTGCGTGTGTTTTTGTGTGCACCGTAGGTAGTCGACGGAGCGATCCGCTGTCGCTGTCGCTGCCACCGCCACCGCCGCTGCCACTGCCTCCGACGCGCCGCCATGAGTGAATGTCATCAATGCACGCACGCCACACACACCATACTTTCTATGCAGCCGAGCTAGAGGTACAAAAACAACAAGAAATAGACTCGGGCGACAGTCTGAGGCAGGCTCAAGAGCGGGTAGGTAGGGAGGCCCGGGTCGGTCCGGGTCGGGTGCTCAGCTTTGTGCGTGGTCGCAACGGAAACCAAAGCCAGTTTAACAATCGAATCGCTCGCTGGGCCGATGTCGATGTGAAAATGTGGATGTGGACGTGAATGTGGGTTCGGGATGTGAGGCACTGCTGCCGCAACGTCACTTGAGTCGCATTTCATGTGGGTTTTCAATGGAAATAGTTGTTGATCAATTTAAACAATAGCATATAGTCGTGGTATTTGAGCGCTATAGTACAAAAAAAAAATGAAATCAATTTTGATTATCATTGTTGAGATACATACTTACGCCCATATATGGATATGCATAAAGTGAATTAAATAGCTGCTTTGCGCTTAATCTTTGAGCCATTAGGAACACCCGATCGAGTCGATTTAAAAGGGGATTGTGTGAAAAGGCTCTAACATGGGCACACTAATGATAAATGGTGGGTTTGATGGCGAACAGTGAAAAGATTCTACTATATTGGCCCTGTAATGAAAGGTAAGCAGAGAAGTAGGGGATGCTCAGAACATTGCTATTGGACTATTAAAAGCAAGTAAACTTTTTCATTAAAGTGTTCTTCAAAGCTTCTTGATCAGCAATAATTGATTATACATATATTTCATCTAACAAAATCTTTTTTGATAACTTATTAGTGATCATGTTTTGGATGATTACAAATGATGTGATCGCTAGGGTGTTAAATACTTTTGATGTTAAATATTTTTGTTGTTGATAAAGTACTTTGGTAACGGAACTACATATTTAATATGTAAAATTGATATTTGATTTTTATATTTATTTTTAATGGGCTTCTTTACTACACATTCTCGATTCCTAATCAGTGCTTTAATTTAAGAATAAATAACTAGATTATTAATTACTTCGGCTATGTGTGCTCGATCAGTGATCATTATCACCAAACTTAACACTGAATCCTTTTAATTATTCACATTTATATTATACTTATCAATTACACAAAAGAAACTTCATTTGTCCCAGCTTATAGTCTTCATTATTTTAATTAGTTTTCATAAAATATATTCTTTAAATAAAATTATAGAAATTTTATAAGGAAAAGCTTTGGACAAGAAAGTAATATCCTCCACATACTCCACCGTAGTTGGACTAGTTTTGTATTTTCCTCTTCCATTCTTGACGTTTTCCAAAAAAATATATTTCAGATTCTGGCAGCAATTAGATTGCAGAGTTGGACATAAAACTTAATATCGAAATTTCGTATTTGTTATGCCATCTTGAAATGATAATACATAGTACATTTTTTGTCAATAATTAAAAGCATTCATCTAAATCAGTTTATAGTACAGATAGATGTCAGTAATAAGTGAATGGTGCGTGACTGATATTTGATAGCTTTAATTTATATACGTTTCATGTTCTAGTTTTTGTGGGGCTTTTATTTATATTTAAAATATTTTAGAAACCAGTTTCTCTTTTAAATTCTAGCCTTTTTATTTATTTGAAAAGATTATTGTCTCTGTAAAACCTAGATCAACTGACTGGATGCCGAATAATATTCCCAAGTACTTCTTCGATATTTTTTATTTTATGTTTTTTTGCTCTATTTGCTTAAAAAAAATATATAATTTTTATACTTTTCTATGTTTAAGCTTTTTAAATTTTAAGTAATTTTAATTAATAAATAATATAAAATTGATCATATGGTGATAATTTCTTTTCGATGACTGATAGAGTTTTGAACGCATTTGAATCAACCAATATGCTCTTAAGTATGCAGTGCAGCGCATAAGAAAGTTGAGAGAGAGGTTGGGAGATGAAAGATCAACAAATCATAGCCACATAATGACAACTTTTACACAATGTGCCGACCTAAGTCTAATTGATTTAGAGTTGACAGTCCCACAAAAAGACTACACAATGATGTAGTAGCCATAAATTGGTAAAAGAAAAGCGTGGGTCTGAGTATAACATTAAAGACTGTAGACTGCAGTCTAGAGGTATTTTTTTTGTTGTACCTAATGAAAAAAAAAACCACTCAAGTCTGCCCTCATTATAGTAAGTGGTTAATGAGTGCTTTTTGGTAAGGCCGACCGACTACTACTAACGAGTTGCATTGATAGTAACAGTGATAAGGCTTGGGCACTTGCTAGTACTTATGTGTGTACATGTACATACTTGAGCGATAAAAGAACAGCTAATAAATGTCATGGTGCTCTAATGAGGCAACATAAGTGTTTAGTCATTGTCTGATTCTGAAAATAAACCAAAATCGAGTCAATATTTGGGAGGCCGCAGTCTAAACTTAGTGACGATCATTCGAGTGGGTCCGCCACTATAGAAAGCTGGCTTGGCAAAAAGCAAATATTAATTGTATGCACATACGGCGCTTAGTATGTACACATGTAAATTGTTCATCATTAAACACACATTATGTACATACATACATACATACATATGTCATAGAAATCGGGCTCACGCCTACTGCGTCGATCATGACTGTCAAGCCTGACATGTTGTGACTTTGTCTCGGACGCTTCAAACTAAAAACAAAACAATAACAATACATAAGCACATACTATACATACATAAGTAGCATTTAAACTAGTAACGGGCGCTTCCAATTGCTGCCTCCTCCTATCAATGCAAGCGCTACCAAGTAAATCAAACTGCACTCACCACTCGGTATGCTCAAAAATTACATATGTACATACACACAAATATTTATGTACGCTTCTCGGCTTGTCCGTCTGTGTGTGTGTGTGTGCGTGTGTATCAGCGCTCGCCTTGTGCTCAGGCGCTGAGCAAACTCTAGAAAGTGTTGGCAGTCAGCGGCGTCGACGCACAAACGATACACAGTGGTCTGAATACGATTTTTAATTACCTGAGAATCGATTTCCAAACATACTAAAATGGCAAAGATTATAGTTCATAATATAATTTATTAAAGCAAAGGTTTAATTTGTTTATGTTCCCATATTTTGGGGTGCATAAATACATATATTTTTCTTATTTATTTATAATTAAGATTAAAAGTTATTATAATGACAGATAAACTTAGGTAATCTAAGAGATAGCTACTTGGGCTAAAGCCAATAAAATCTAGATAATAATAGAGATATATAGACCATATTACATTATGTGATTTATTTGTATAGAGAAGCTCTAATAGAAACTAAGTAAATTTTATGTATTAAATTTGATATATATGGGTGAAGGTCAATTAAATTTCTTAATTGCTTTAAAAACTGAAATGAAATCAATTCATACTTGTATGACCACCAGATTGCGGTAGGAAATCTATTTTGTATAGCTTCATTTGATTATTCATGCACATACCTGTATGGATATATGAGTACATACATAGCTAAATCAAACTGCATTTTTATTTCTCAAGAGAAAAAAAAAATAAACTTGAAAATTAATGGAGTTCCGAACAGGCCTGATACTAACTACGTGTTATATTAATTTAACATCAATTGTTTGTATTTACTCGACTTTCAATTAAAATTATTTCTCTATTTATAAATCATTCTATACGTATTAATTTTTTTGTTTGTCAATTTTATTGAAATTTTTAATTAGAGTTAACAAAATTAAAACATTTGCATTTTTTGTCTTATAAATTAATATTTAATTGATAAAAATATTTATTATCATATTTAATGAATGAGCTATTCATTAATTTTTTAGATAGTCTAGCAAACGATATCCATTATCGTGGTTTTCAATGAAATATTTCCCTGGTTGTGTATTCCCTATAAATGATATTTTGTTTAAATATCAATAAAAAAAAGAGCAAACAAACATTTTTGAATAGTTTTTTTCAATACACAATTATTGAAATAGTTTGTTTTAATTGATTTAATATTGTTTAGAAGTTATTAACATGAAAAAAATTATTAAATAAATGAAAAACACAAAATTTATTTGAATATATTTTCCAGGTGATCATGCGGTCGATGAAAACGATTTCGGCACCACTGTGCGCCGCTGCGCTCAGTTAATTGAGCGGCTGCGGTCGACGCAGCCGGCAACTGGCCGGCCTGGCAGTGGCAGTCTTGACGGCAAGTTGCCATAACACGGCCAGATCATTCGTCTCTGCGTCAGCGAGGCGTACGGTTCACAGCACAGCACTTAGTGCAAAAGTAACAACAACACAGAGCCAACAGCACCAACAATAATAACAACAACTCAACGCATCGGCGTTGGCGTTAAGAGTGGCGGGCAACATTTTATAATAATTTAATTAAAGACGGAAACCGGCGTTGCAATCACATGCAAAAATACAACAAATTGTTAATAATAATAATTACAAAAAGTTGAATGAAGAAGTCACATACCTGGTTTTCCATACTCATCCATTATTTTTACAAGATCCGTTGTGTGCGTGTCGTTCTCGTGTGCAGTTGTGTGCGTTAAAAATAAAAATATATTTTAAATAAATAAGAAAAAGTCTGACGCGTTGCCTGTGCATGAACAGCCCGCGTGATATTTTTGCCTTTGGAAAAATGAAAATGCTTGTATAAGAGAGAAGCAAAGAAGAAATCAGAAGGCAGAAACTGCAAAAAAAAAAATTCAAAGTGATCATAAAAAAGTTCCTTAAACAAAAAAGAAAAGAGAAAAACGGCGCAGCCAGACAGACAGGGAAGGGAAGAGAAGAGAAGAAGGCAAATAAACTAAGAAGTCAGCGGCAGTTTAACAACTAACGGTAAGTTCATCAATAATAACAATAACAACAAGAAACACAATGAAAACAGAGTTAGAAAATAAACAAATGCAGGACAGCTTTAAATTTCTATAATCAGACAATGCACCCCAGAACAAATCTTGAATAATGTCCACTTATATACTTACATATGTACATATACATGTATGTATTTAAGCATGCATATATGTATGTATTTCTATGTATGTATATACATTTATATAGGCATTACATCAAATTGCAGGTACATGGAGCATTTCATAAACAAAATTTCCAGCAGGCAGCCAACTGTTAAGAATTTTGTTTACCGCACGCAATTAAAATGCTGGCACTTCAAATCAAATGTTTATACAAGTAATACATAAGTAATTACTACATATACAAATATTTTCCTCTATTAACTTTTACAGTTTACCCGCCGCACATACTAGTACATACACACATACGAACTATAATAGTTCCTTGTTCTAAGCTCAAGTCAAGTAAAGCCAGCCGCAGCCATTGCTCAGCAAAAGGTCTATAAAATGATTTCGCACAGTCCACCCATATTCAGTCACAGTCCACCCGTTAGTTTCCTAGCGGACTACATGAGCGGTCATCAGCGTCCAGCATTGGGGTAAGTTTACAATTTTATAATTTTCCCAGACACGAGTACCACCTAAGTGGGCCATACAGCCAATTTATTTAACAAATAAATTGATTTCACTTACAAATAACCATTGAGGGGCTCTTGCCGAAAATTGAAGAACTTAATCAACAGCAACAGTCAGGTCAATCAAGATTGATTAACTGCCGATAGCTTTATTAAATATCGAGCACCCTACGTCGTTGCAATAACTTCGTTATGGCTGCTATCTTCACATAAGTGTTGTGGTGCGAGACAGCTCAAAAGTACGTGTTTAATAACAAGTTTCATTCACTTAATATCTTTTTTTTTTTTAAAGAAGTATTTCTGACAAGAAACAAAAAACTTTTGCCTTATGATCATGAAAAGCTGCAACGCTCTGAACGTTTCCGCTGTTGAAACAAATGTTTTCATTTTCAAAATTACAGCAGCTGAGCATTTTTTGAAACATGAAACAGGGAAGCAGCATTTGAAACTCTTTGATCCTCATTTCCCAAAAGATCCATTTGTGATTGACAAGCATAGTAATTATAGAATAGTTTCGTTTTTCATTTCAAACTCTAGGAAATGTTTTCTTATAACAGCTTTTGAAACTTCTAAGAAATTGTTCAAATATTTTGAATCATTTTAACAATTTGATCGCGTTTATGAAAAAATAGAGAAAGCATTAACGAAAAGATGTTAATTTGAAGAACTTCAATAAATTGATTTTTTAGTTATACATTTAATTTGAGATTATATCAAGTAATAACAAATATTAATCTTTGATTCAGTTGTAACGCGTTCAAAATCTTTCTGAAACAACAATAGAAAACCCATTAATTAGAACTATTTTAAGATCAAGTTATTTACATAAAAGCGGAATAATTAATTTTTGAAAACCATCCTTTCCTTATAGCCGCTTGAAATAATGATTTATTTTAAAATTTTTAATACAAAATAAATGTGTAACTAACACGAAATGCAGAAAACATTAAAAAATTTTTGGAACTTGATGGTTTCTATGAATAAGATATATATAATTCAACAAAATCAAGAATTGAAAGAGTTTCAAAACAATACAAATAAATGAGAAAGAAAAAACCTCAATACTAGTAGTTTTGAAAGTTTTAAAAATTGAGCATTTTTACGTAGTACTTGAAAGCCTTGTTTTGTCCTTTTATAATGAATTCAAGGAGTGCATTTTTGATGTACTCCTACAATATCCGTCTCAAGGTAGTTGTAATAAATTTAGAAGTTTCTTTGAAAGTTCTCCAAATGGTGCATTTTTTAGTGGAGTGCAATAGTCTATATTGTACCTTCTATTTATTAGCTTTTTGCAATTACTGTTTTGTGATATTATTACAATGTAGATATGATATAAAAAATCGCGTTAAAGGCTCAGTTTATAGTCGATCGTTTTGGGATGAGTACAATGCCATCAATACATACATATATTTAGATATACTGTATAACCGAATCCTCACCTGGACCTATTCGAATGCATCAATAAAAAAAAACATTGAAATGGAATATAAAGACAATTATAAAGACAATACATTAATTAATAAAAAAATACATATGTTTCTGAAATATAGGTTAGCAACCTTAAATGTATGGCTTGCCTGGCATACAAATAACAATAACAAATACAAATAGCTAGGAGAATTTCAACAGAACTTAATGGAGCTACATAAGTATGTCTGTAATTTGTTTGTTTACATCGGAACTAAACACATAACCATGCTGTGAATCAATTGTATATTGAGTATAATTTAATGAATTTCTGTTTCGAAACAAAACAAATGGAAGAAATGGAGAAACACCTGTGCATATATATAAGTACAGATGTACCATATAGTAGAACCCCAAAAGCAAGGCCGGAATAATTGTAAAGAAAAGCGAGAAATGTTTATAGCAGAAACGCATTTTTGTACTACTATATAGTAATATATGTATATATGTATCTATATTTTTAAGTATTCCAAAGCACTAAAAATATGCTCTCTCACATCGGTTGACAACAGAAACAAAACAGAAGAGAGCTGGCCGCGCTTTATTTGCAAATTGGAAATCATTCAAGATCAAGGCAACAAACGCCGCAGACCAAAACAAAACAGTCCACACATAGGCTTTGGATGCTGGTACTGCCGAGTACACGAGTACAGCACATGACGCTGATAGATGCTAAGATCTGGGGGTCTGCCTGGCGGCAAAAAAAATTCGCGTGGCGCTTCAGAGAATTTGTTTTTTTTTCTCCGCGCAATACACGCGCTAAGTATTATGAGAAATGGTGACAAATGACTCGTACGCCTGGGTTTGGCAGCTCTTGACGCAATTGATTTCATTTATTATATGATTGCGTATAAATATTTGCAGGTCCATTGCTTGCACAAGCGTTAAATGCAGCTGTCAAATATATTTTTGATGACACGCCTTGAAAGATAAATGCATATTTAATATATAGGTTAGCAAACTGAATTTTCAAAATGAAACAAATTTAGTAAAAGAACACTCTTGCGTCGGAATACACACAGCGGATAGAAAAATATATTTATATATTAACATTATAGATATAGACATAACTCAAGGAAATGATATAGTATAAGAAATATTATATAAAGGCAGAAGACTCATAGAAAGTTTGCTGGAATATAAACAGAAAATAGACATTTGAAATGAATTTATTTGCATTAGAGGGTGTAGTAAAACAGTTCATATAGTGGAATTACATTTCTTACTACCTGTAACAGTTTTGCTACCTTATGTAACTCGAGATCTATTAAGGTTACAAGCTCAGAACTCATTTTAACAAAAGTAAAACTATAGGAATATTTAAAAAACATTTTTTGTAATAATAAATTAATAATTCATTGGAACCGATTGATACTTACAAATTTGGTTATATAATAAAAATAAAAAACACTAAAATATTAAGAAAGAAACGTATGCCATCTTTAGAACCTACGCTAATCTCAAGTATTTCCTGTATAACAATAATAATCCTTAAAATTTCGAAGAACATGAAACATAGTAAAATCAATGTCAAATTTAATTTCGAAACTGGAATTCCAAACTTCTTAGGTTCTATAAGGTTAATAATAGAAAGAATTATTATTCACTACATATTGAAAAGACAGATAATACACGAAGGGATGGTCATTTTAAAGGATACACAAATCGAATATCTGTAAAAGTTCAGTCAAGGTTTTTGACACTCAATGTAACGGGCTTGAAAACACACAATATATTTGCGAATCACATTGAAGATTAAGCCATACATATTACTCAAGTAACTCAAGTGCCGGACAGGTTGTTGACTTACAATTGGAAAGGCAAAGTATTTAGGAGCTCGTACAGCCAATTCCTAACAATAGAAGCTTGTCAAACAGTAAAATCAATGAATAAACTACAATTTTCACATTTCTTAGCTGAACTATAGTTTAGTCTGGGGCGTAGTTCAAACCTCTTGGATATTAAGTATGATTAGAGAACCTTGAACTAACACAGAAATTCGGAAATGTGAAAAACTACGCAAATGATTCAACGAAAAGTTGCAAAATGTTGTCTATGTCAGAAACTGTCATAAAAGTTGCCAAAAATAGCGAATAGCCAGTTGTATAATATTTTCGAATCTCTTTAATGAATCATTAAGATTTCTAATGCGCACAACCAAAATAAACACAAATACTAAACTGACTGCCTTTCCAAATACATATATGTATATACAAGTAGTATAGTATCTGTTGAAATCAAGTGCAGAGGTCGGGAATATTGTCAACTAGCGCAATAAACGGGAGTAAGATGAATATACTCGCATGTTTGCTTATCAATAATGAAGCTGAAATGCCGAGTGTTTTGTGTTGAATATAAATATGTTTGTTTGTTTGTGTTTGTGTGTGCTTAGTGCACATAATAGGGAACAATGGAATGATAAGTATACGCAATGTGTTATCACATAAAAATAAGAGAGATAGAAGCAATACTTCCTATCAGACTGATAAAAAGTGAAAACAAATGAAAAGTAAAAGTTTCAAGCAGCATTTCAAGCAGCTGGTCAATCATTTAGGCTCCTTTGTATAGTGTAGAGTTTTCTTTTGTGATTAAGATTTAAACGGCTGATGCCTAATAGACTGCTTCTGTTCTTGATTCGTCTTCCAGTTACAATGAGGAAGCCAACAGAGCATCACGCTATTGCCGACCCCAAGTGATAACACTTGCCTCAAAAGCCATGGTCAACAATGCCTTCAACACGGCCTCCGCAATGCAGCAGCAACAGCAGCAGCCCTCTCCGAAAGCTGCCACTGCCAATGTTGGAGCCACACCCCTGGGCTTTGGCTCTCGTTCGGGTCGCAGCTATTTGGAACGCATGATGTCGGCGCCAATGCTCAACAAACAGCCCAAATCGTGCCTCAGTCGTAAATCCTGCCTGCACCAAGGCAACAACTCCGAAAACAGCGAATCCCAGACAGATAGCGATGTCACAGATAGCAGCAGCAGCGATGGAGATGGTGCCGCCAGCTGCGAACAGAGGTGAGTCTGTTTATACCGGTATTATGGGCGGGATAACGGCTAGGCTTGCATAAGCCGTAGTATCCTGAGACCACCTCCATTCGATTTGTGTATGTGACCGCAAACGATTGCTGCAACAGCCAACGAAGGTTCAAACACTTTGACGTCAGTTTAAGACAATGGCGCCATTTAGATCTTACCGCAATCTGAACTACATCGGCTGAGTGGGAGAGAGATTTGTAGCTGTGGTTGACAGCTGTGGCTAACAAATGAGTCTAATCCGCACAGTTGTCGAATGAGATACAATGGCTTAGTGTTAAAGATAAGGGAAGACTACGGAGGCATTAGTCAATGAAGTTACAAACACGCCAGATTCAAGATATTTCCTGCCTAATCTGGTGAGGTTTAAGGGTTGGGTAATAGAATTCATTCGATTGATATGAAAGGTCTCAGAAGCACAAGTTTTACAGTGAAGAGCACTAAAATGTTCCATTTATGGGTATCTCTGTTTCTAAAATTAGTTAAAATATTCAAACGTGTACAAATTACATTTTAGGAATGCCCACCTTTTTTCAGGGATTTTCTATGATTTTATATAATTATTGATGTGAAAAAATCAATTCATTTTTGAACACTCAAGCTATGATTCAAATAAATCGAAAGGTGCAAAAAGGGCAAAAGTCCTTAACACTCAAAATAAGTTCAATCGAAAAGGTATATTGGTTGGGTAATAGAATCCATTCGATTGATATGAAAGGTCTCAGAAGCACAAGTTTTACAGTGAAGAGCACTAAAATGTTCCATTTATGGGTTTATTTGTTTACAAAATTAGTTAAAATATTCAATCGTGTAAAAATTACATTTTAGGAATGCTCACCTTTTTTCGGGAATTTTCTATGATATTATATAATTATTGATGTGAAAAAATCAATTCATTTTTGAACGTTCAAGCTATGATCAAAATAAATCGAAAGGTGCAAAAAATCTTTAACACTTACTAATAAGTTCAATCGAAAAGGTATAATATTTTAGGTATAATTTGGAAACTGTATAAAGTATCATATTCTTATGCTAAGAACTTCAAAACTTGTGCAGTATTTTTTCCATTTAGCGAAAGTTGAAGAGTCTGTATACACGATGTCAAATTAAATTCTCAATGCGTTTTACATTAAATAGGAATTGAAGAGTTTCCGTGCACGTTTTTCAAATATTGCCAATAGCCTTGACCTTTCACTTTATTGATTGGCCAAAATAGCAAGCAAATTCCTTTGTCTATATCTAGATATGTATGTATATATGCATATAGATCCAAATTAAGCAACGTTTGTTACTGACTGACTGAGTTCTACTTGGCTTAAGACCAGAAAAAGGCAACAATTAGCAAAACATTTATTTTGGCAACTCTTGAACTCTCGAACGTCACAGAAAGCGCATGGCAGATGGCGATAGAAGAGGAAGTGTGAAAATGTACAAAAAAGTAAACAATATATTTATTGTATAATATTATTTTAATATATTTGAAAATTGAAGGCATTTTCGAAGCGAAATTAATGAAAAAAAAAGAAAACAAATAAACGTCCTGCAAAAAATGTATTTGCGAAATCTCGCAACAAATGTGAACAGCCAACACGCCACTGCCAGATATAGTATACGAGTATACATAGTATTAATCAGATATAAAAAAAAAAATGTAGCACACACATAAATTAAGGCAAACCAAGCCAAAATGCATTTAGTATAAATACGTGTAAGCTGTTCAAAACATGGCGCCAGTTTAACTTTTTGCGTTGTGCGGCTTTTAATTTCATTTTCGATAGAGAGCGAAACATTATCTATATAATATCAAAATAATATACAACAATGCATATATAGGCAGGCCGTAGCACAATGTCAGCAACCGCGCTTTCAAATTATTACACTCATCAATGGAAATTTTTGTAATATGTATATATCATTTTGTTTTGGGGGTAAAAACATTTGCAGCACTTCCTCTTTTCCGACCAGAGCATCTGCACTTGAATTTGACATTTTCAAAATGTCTAAAAATATAAAATGGAAAGTGCACAAGGCGTACAAGCAGACAAAGATAGATACAGACCGACAGAGACACACGATCAGCTAAGTGCAATACCTAAATACATATGTACTTGTACATACCCGTATGCATATAGCAGCACTATTTTTGATTGGGTAATGTCTAGTATAAACCAAGCATAGTGTGGCGTAGTGTTTTTATTTACATAACGCAGTGATTTTTTTGAGCTGTAGCGGCAGTGCTTGAATAATTTTTGTGGTTGCGTATACATTGTCTCAGTATTCCAACATGAAAATGCACTGAGAGAGAAGCAGACCAGAGAGAAATGAAAAAAATGCAACAGTTTTTGTTTTGAAGCAATCCATATACAAAACCTAACTCATGTAACTCAGTTATTTGATGCTCTAGAAACTTCAGATTTTATACATAGCTTCAGAATAAGCAAATGGAAAAGGTAGAAAGAAATTTTATAGAAAATTTTAAGCTGTTGGAACAAGAAACGAGATTAATAAATGATATAGGCATCAAAAACAACATTTTCATTTAAATTTTAGAAATATGAATTACTAAATATTTAAAATACGCATAATTTAATAACTTCTAAAATTCTCAAATTAAATTTTGCACAAATAATATTTGGCGCTAAATAGGCGCTATAATGTCAAAGCTTTCATTAGATGTCACTTTTAATAACCTTCTGAGAAACGTGAACAGCGTGAAACAAAATTTGCCGACCACGCCAAGGCCAAGAAATAATTAGCCTAGACGCATGATTGTGTGTGAGCATTGAGAAAAATTCTTTTTTTTTCGGGTGTAAATCTACATTGACTAAAAATATTTCAACATTACAAGCTTGTCGACGGCAAACATACATATGTATGAAAGCTATATAGACAGATGCCCGACTGTGCATGCAGCGATCACGTGAATTAGCCTGCTGGTGTGGCAATTGAAAAAATGTAAAAATGTTGGCGCCCATTGAAAATCTGTAAAATATTTGACATGTTGTATGGCGCTGAACTAAATAGTATCTGTACTAATATTCTTCTTTTATTTTATCTTTTATTTTATAAATTCATTCTTTGACTAATATACACGCCTACGCACAATAGAGGGAAAACTATTTTCGTCTGCAAACTAATGAACTTTGGATTCTAGAGAAAAAAGCTAGCGAGAAGAAATTCAAATGAAATGACAGACAAAATGCGGAACCTAGGGCTTGTCGCAATCAATAAGCCCTACAAGGCTGTTGTAAAGGTCGCAGACTACATAATTACAAGATGCCAATATGTCGGAAATGTAAAAGACCGCACAAGGTCTTGGCACACAAATTATAGTATATTAGAGGGGTTGTCGACATTTCGTTTTATTTTGTGTGGGCATGTATTTATAAATTAAAGGTGAATCGAACTCGCCAGTGATATGAATTGGATAATTGGACATTGAAGAAACTTAACTAAAAGACGACAATTTGAATTCATATTTTCATCAAAATGCAAGCGTTTAATCTTGTGTTGAATGTGATATAACTTCTGCTATAAATGAACCTCGAAGCTCATTTAACACTCTGGTTAAATGAATGCACTAAACTCGTTTCTTCATCTTCTGCGTGTGCGATGCATATTGAACGAATAAATTTTTAATGACTTTTTAATTTTTCTGTTGCCTTTTCACATTGTATTTTTATTGTAAATGTAAATGTCCCTCAATGCAAGGTAAATGAAAACCGGACCCCAAAATATCTGCCTGGCATACGAATTATGCATATTTTTTCTGTAAATACATATTAACGAGCGACAGCCAAAAGAAAAAAAAAGAGTTGAAAAGATCTGTAGAGATGAAAAGAGTTCCATGTTAACACGTTTCACGCCTTGCATGTTGGTCTACATGTTGGCCCATAAAATACAGAGTTGACAGCCAAAATAGTAAAAGAAAAACTATGTAAATTTTTAAGCTGTCTGTTCACGTTTTTCCTTAATTTCGGTTAACAGTTGACACGTCCACAACATGAAAGCGTTAAAAATAATAATAAAAACAAAGGGGGGGAAGAAAACGAGACCTGTCTTCGGTGCGACCACAGAAATAAAAAAAAAATTAAATAAAAAAAATCGATAAGCAAGCAGGCCGTAGAAGGCGGCAGCGAAACCTGTTGAAGAAAATGCATCAGGCGAGCCCCGTTGCCAGAGCAGAGCACGCCCTGAATGCGTGATCATCGATTGCCGGCTATAGCTGTCGCTGTTGCTGTTGTGGTGGTACGATCGCCTGAGTCTATATAGTAGACTTGACTAGCCAGCCAAACGAACATTCGTTTGATATCGACGACAACAGCGCCGATGGTGGCTAATAAACTCAGCCAATAGTCGCCCAACAACAACAGCAATCCTTGGCATTTATACATATGCTTTTTGTATATTTAGACTGATGCGTTTTTGTTTGCAATTCATTAAAGCTGCAAATATATACATACATATGTATATACTTGTATGTGCATAAATATGTACGAGTATATAATCGGCACATACAAGTATAATCGTATATGAAGACCAATTTTCCATTAAAACGCGCCCCTGAAAACGTTTTAGTCATTCAACTTGCTGCCGCACGCAAAGAGATATCTTATCATATAATACCCATTATAATCTTATCGGTGGTGCATTTTTAAATAAAGTTACAAGAAAAAATGAGAAACCTTAAAATACTTGTGAGGATTATCAAATCTTAATATATAATTTTAATTGCGGAAATTATACGGCAATATAAATATTTCATCACAGGAAGCTTTAAAACTCCTTTGGGAGAAATTATAAATAATGATGATAATAAATAATTGCTAAATAGATATGTAGACAGTTAAATACATAGATAGTGTGTAAATGAAGTATACTTGTATGTAGATCGACAAAATGATGGATGAAACAATTGATGACTGATCGATAACTTTAAAAATGATAGATATGTAGCACAAGATAAAATAGGAAACAGCAGAAATGACAGCAAGATATATGAAGATAAGAAAGCCGTTAGATAGATAGAAAGATTAATAGCAAAATAAATATGTAGAAAGATAAATGAACAGATAGATGAATAGTTGATCCATGCACAGATATGGATAGTAGATAAATAAATAGACAGATATATACAAAATAAAAAGTTACATTGGTTGATGAAAATAAGATGAAGATCGATAAGTTATAGATTTTGGATGGACAGATAAGCTTTATATATCTGTAGATAAATATATGGATCAATTTATAGATAAATATATACCTACAAAATTCAGATAAAAAATTTAAAATGCAAAACAAGTTAATGAGTCTTGACTGATTGCTGCCTAAATATATTGAACCGGAAATTCAATTATAGATAAATTTATTGATAAATATATACCTAAATGATAAAAGTTCAGAAATCAGAAATATTAAAAAATTCAGATATAAAATTGAAAATGCACAACAAGTTGTAGTTCTTGACTGATTGCTGCCTAAATATATTGAACCGTAAATTCAAACAAATCCTCCTCTCAATGAGCAAAGTAAAACCAGGCTAAGTATCACCGATCTGAGTCCATATGCATTATATATAGATGCATTTTGATGGATCAATATTTCTTGGCATTTATCCCGCATCAATTGTTATAGATCTATTCGATTGAATCCTCATGCATGCCAACACAGAAAACAAAAGTATGGTAGCTATAAATTATAGAAAACACAATGTCCAAATATTTATGTGATTTTTCTGAAATTTATATCTAGAAATTACCTAAGCGCAGAAAATTGTGATATATTTTATGGGCCGAGGTGAGTTGTTCTAATTGCCTTTTAGATCTTGGTTGACATAAAATTAATGTGTTGCGGAATGTTATTAATTCGCAGCTAAGCGAATGCATTTATATTCCCTCTGTATTTTGGAAGATGGGCGTGGTTTATTTACACTTCATCAGAAATCGTGGGAGTAGTTTCCTCGCAGCCCAAGAAAATGGTGGGCGAAGATTTTCGCGTTATTTTCTTTCTCTTTGCCAAAAAAGAAAGATTGTACGTGACGACCGAAAATAGAAAAACACACATGACTTTTAAAAATTTCTTAGACTGTAGAACGCCGGCGATATAATGACGCGGTCATCTGTACTAAATATATAGTATAACTAACTAAATAGACAAAAACCAAAAAAAAAAGAAAAATTGTTTAAAAAATTTTAGCAAGTTGTTTTGGCTGTCTTTTCAGTATTTAACAGGCGAATGGAAATTTCTTAATTATTGTCACATTAGCTCATAAATTAGACCACATGGTATTTGGGGTTTGTTTTTCAAGCAGTATCGTATGTTTAATTGTAAATCCTAAATGCCAAATTACTGGCCGTAGTCAACATTTGCGCAACTTTGGTAGCCACGCGCAGCCAATTGGCAGCACAAAAAAGCCAAAATGTTGGCCAGCCCTTTCAGCTGACAATTCAAAAGATAGACAACGGAAAAAATTAAAATACATACTATAAAAAAAAAATGTCACGGCGCAGATACTAGAACACTAAATAAACAAGAACATAAACACACTAGAAATATCAAATAAAAGAATACATATACTTAGTACAAAAAGTTTGTTGTATTTTTCTTGTGCGATGATGTGATGAGCACATTAAAAAGTCAACGACTTCAGATTGCAATTCCCAACCTAATGGAATGCCGAATGGGGGGCTGTTAAGCTACTACTTATAGCTGATAAAGCCTAGTCCGGGGAGTCGCTTTTTATTATGGGTTCAAGGTTGGATTGCCGATTTTAAATAGCCACAAGGTCTTAGTGCTCAAAAATTCAAGTTCAAACATTGCAAGATTATTTTTATTATACAAGTACATTACTAATAATATGTATTTTTTCTATCTTTTACAGTCACACACGCAAGAAGCACGTCATCTTTGCCGATGATGAGGGACACTCGCTGACAGAGGTGCGAGTTATGTCGGAGCCTTCAAATGTGCCACCCTATTGGAGTGTCAAGTTTTTAGAGCAGATAACACAAGGACTGGTCAGTCCGCATCCGGCCGATCAATGGACCGTCGATTTTAAGCAACCGGCATCCGATTATCTCACATTTAGGTGAATACGAAAAACCGATCTTTAAAATCAAAATTCGCTAATTTAAATAAAAACCCCTTCTGTTTAGACAAAAGATCGAACGCGACTTTGTGTCGCTAGAAAATGTCATTGTCAAGGACGAGGAGTCCATAGTAGTCGGCACCGTCAAGGTCAAGAATGTTGATTTCGAAAAGGAGATTATTGTGCGTGTCACTTGGGATGACTGGAAGAGCCAACAGGATATATTTTGCACATTTGCTCGGGTAAGTCAAGGAGCTATATAGTATTTAAAATGTTACTTAACATCCGCACTTAGGAAGCAAATCTTTTGTCATATTTAAGAAATTCACAGACAGGTCTCAAATAATTTCATAATCATTCTTCAAGTTGAAGACTATGATTTCTAGTACTATATATATTTCCGGCATTTCTAGCATTTTCAAATTTATGGAAATACAAAAATATTATAAATATTCTATTCATGCTAATTGTTGGAAACATCTGTTTCTAAAACCAATCCTAAAATTAATTTTTATATCAATTTACGATACTTTCCTTATTTAAACTATCAAATTTTTGAACTCTTCAGTTTTCGTAAATTTAGGTATCTTTTAATAAATTATTGTGAAATAGTGAATGGAACTTCCCATTAATTAATAAATATTATAAATATTCTATTACTGCTAATTGTTGTAAGCATCTGTTTCTAAAAATCATTTTGATTTCTTCTCGTTACGAAATCATTTTTATAACAATCTACGTTATTTGAAACTAACAAATTTTTAAATTCTTCAGATAACGAAAATGTTGGTATTTTTTTATGAATTGTTGTGAAATAGTGAATGGAACTTCCCGTTAATTTATAAATATTCCATTCAAGCTAATTGTTGTAAACATCTGTTTCTAAAAACATTTTGATTTCTTCTCGTAACGAAAAAATCCTTCAATTAATTTATATAACAAATTAGGATATTTCCTTTATTTAAACTATCATATTTTTGAACTGTTCAGAACTCTAAAATTTTGGTATTTTTAAAATGAATTTTTGTGAAATAGCAAATGGAACTTCCCGTTAATTTATAAATATTATCAAATTTTTTAACTCTTCAGTTTTCGAAAATTTTGGTATTTTTTGAAGTTTTTTTTGTGAAATAGTGAATGGAACTTCCCGTTAATTTATAAATATTATAAATATTCTATTCATGCTTATTGTTGTGTTTCTAAAACAAATTTTGATTTCTTCTCGTAACGAAAAAATCTGCTTTTCTTTTTGTTTTGCACAGTTCTAATTTAGTATATTTTTCTATATTATAGGCCTATGGACTCGCAACTTGCGCACACGTTGTCTTTGACACATTCTCCTTCAAGATCACGCTGCCGCCCTCATCGAAACGCCTGGAATTTTGCATATGCTATCGCACCAAGGACAAGGAATATTGGGACAATAATGATGTAAGTTCTAAAAATGTGCTTTAAAAACTTACAATCTAAAAAATATACTTTCTACAGGGCAAAAACTATACCATCAGCAAACGTTCGCCCTTTTACTACAACGCTCTCTCCCCCTACGATATGAATAATAGTCGAGGTCCTTGTCGACAAACGGGACGCTCCACTCTAACCGATGCTTTGTCCAAGGAACAGGATAAACAGAATACCTGGAATGCAGAGCCATGTACACCATATTGGTAGAGTCTCGTGGATGGTATGCGAGTATTTTTGCAAGCAAGAGCAAAGTTCTGTGTATAGGGCGGGTGGGGCAGTTCAATGGAATTGATTTCCACCAAAATTTATCAAACATTTTACCCAAATGAAATTCAAACATTACGAATTGTGATTTAGGTGCTACTGCAGATGGGAATCTGTGGAGCACACAGCTTCAAATTGTACTGGAATATTGTTGACTCAAAAGCTTAGATCAGCAATTAGAAAAGAGAACAAACTTCATTATTTCAGAAACGTTACCTTGAACTTGTGGTTTTTATAAGTGCAATCAAACAGAAACTACTTGAATAGAAAACTCAGCGAGAAATTTTGTTTTACAAAAACCGATTTCATGGAATTTTTTAGCGCATATCTCCTCTATCTATCTATATACTATACATATATACGTATAAAAATGAAAAAGTGTTGTATGTTTGATTGTGCCAAACGATTTTTTTCTTCAATTGTATTTTATATTTGCCTGTGTATGCCTGTGTGATTGTCTAACAAAAATTTCTGTACATTATGTTCTTCGATATTAGATTTATAATACAACAACAACAACTACAACATTAACACAGCGTGCGATCCAAGCAAACCATTGTTTCGAAATTTATTTTTTTACAAAACAAAACAAAAACCTTAAAGAAAACAAAAATAAAAATGCAACAAAAAAATATAACTACACCCGATTATATCATATTATGCCATACATGTGTATTTTATAAAAACTAGCCCTTAAGTTTTGCCTCGAAAATGTTTGATTTTGATTTTATTTTCGTGAATTTTTTTTGGGTTATTTGAAACGCTAAGACTGAAATGGCTTGTTGAGGAGTAAACACGTCTGCAATACATAACAAATGCGAAATAATACAAGCAAGAAATTAAAAAATCATCACATTTTTGTTTGTACGAGTAACTAACAAGATTTTAAACTCAATACACGTACACTGCAAAAAGATCCAAAAGATATGTGTTGTTTTTTGAGTGTGATCCCCGACTAGAATTTTACAATTAAGAAGCCAATGTGTATATGAGAACCGAATTGTACATAACACAACAACAAAAACAAAAAATGAAAACAATATACCAGAAAATTGCCTGTTAAATACATTTATATATGAATTTAGTTTTATAACCATTAGCAATAATTTATTTTTGCGTAGAGCCTAGTGGTTATTTAGTTGTAAGCGCCAAACTGACGATTTGTTGTACAAACACAGTAAAACAATTTCTATATACTTTAGTTTTAAAACTTAATTGCAATAAAACATTGCATATACATACATATACATAAACATATATACATATATATATATATATAAGTATATGCAGTGAGAACTACGACATAAAGAGCCATTACTATATATACTGCGCTCGTTGTTCATAAAAAACTACAATAAAAGTATATTTAAAAACAAATGATGGTAATTTTTATTTAATTTGTCAAGTTGGGGGCAAAAAATTTGAAGAAACAGTAAATGCAGTTTTTTTTTATTCATTCCCAGAATATGATGTGGATTGATTGAAAATTCCAGATTTTTCGGACAGCCTTTGTAGCCTCTTTTCACGCCTTTGGAGTTCGAATTTTTTAAAAATGTTTCGCATGAAGTTCATTTGGTGTCCAAATTTGAGCGTCGTAGCTCTTATGTGTCTTAAACCGCAATAAGTCATTCAGTCAGGTGAAGAGTTACCAGAGAATATCCAAAATGTTTCATCAGCAAACTTAACGTTAACCTCAGAAGAGACAACTTCTTTTGGGCTTAGAAGGAGAATGAACAGAAGTATTTAGAGATTTCATCATAGGATGCCCATTTTACAAAAAAAAAACAAAACTGTTTAGAAGATATGTAATAAGCCAGCTACATAATATAGTTTGATCCGATTCAATTATCATTTCGTATGCCAAACAAATATTCAGCATCCAATTTAATTTATAATAGTATCTGTAGAATTTCTTTAATTTTAAAACCGGATTCAACGCAATACAATTCCTATTATATTTTATACGTAGTATACGATCATCTACATCATTATTGTATTAAGACCTGCTTGGTCAGTAAATTCCAATAACTTATCAGCTTTGAGGAGGGAGGAAATTGTCAATTTCTAATTTGTGGACCTTAACAAATATGTATAGTACCCACATAGCTAGCCCTTTTGCTCATCAGTTACTTAACTCGTTGCTAAACTAATTTAATTCGTAAATATATTCATTTCTTTTAAGCGCAGTATTTCCTCATTTGTGCGCTGAATTTTTCGAGTACCCTATCTTAGACATGCGTACAATAACTTACCTGTTTTGTTCAAAAAACATATACATGCATACCTAGATTGTTGTCATCATTAGCTTTTAATTGGAAACAAATTGCTAAGCACTGTCCACCTGTATTCGCATTCTCTTCGTTTCAAAAACATTTTCAATTGTTGCTAAACCGGTTTCCACAACACCTATTATTATCAATTAAATGCATTTTTAGAGTAGGATTTGTTTTATAAGTTAATTTATTTAGTGGGACTTTTTGGGTGATCCTTGGGTCATACATTTTAGCTCGACTTGCTATAAGAGACATTTAAATAGTATGTATTTTAGTTTTGCATAATATCGCGTGCTATTCATTCATCTAATTGGCCTCTAACAAAGAACAATCATTTCAATAGTGAAACAACATACAAACATACTTTCTAGCTTTTGGAAGTAAGAATAGAAGCTATATATATATATATATGTAGACATAATTTGATACATACATAGATAACAATATATATATGCATATTATATCAATACTAAAAACTTGAGTGTAGCTTAATTACAAAAGTTTGTAGAATGTGTGAAAAGAATTGCAGTTATGTGAAATGCATGAAGTAATTATAGAAGAATATTGGAATGGTCATGTGCCAGAAAATGCGCATAACATATAAGAAATAGACCCGAAAGTACAGTGTATGTCAGTTTCGCCAGCCAGCGCTGATGTTGCCGTGACTGATATCCTGGTTGGTAGTGCCCTGCCGTAACTTGCTTTGCTAATTGTTGACTTAAATTATAATTTAACATTGATGTTTTGCAAAAATTTCGCTGCAGTTAAAATTGAGTACGGATGACGGGCAGTTTACTTGCCGCCTTCCTGTTTGGCCAGCTTGGCCTTCAGCGAGGCGGGCATCTCTGGTGGTGGTGGGCGGGGAATGCCCAGAGCGACCTTGACACCGTCATAGATGAACCATTGCAGCGCGGTCAGTGTACCAATCATAATGATACGTGGCGTCAAGCCATTCCACATGCCTCTGAAGCCAAGGGACTTGGCAACACCCAAAGCGCTGGCACCCTTTGTCTGATTCAGCTTCGATACAACCACATCAGCTGGATGTGAGACAATGGCGCAGAAGACGCCAGCAATGTAACCGGCTGCGAAGGTAACAATCAGCTGTTCACCCTTGGAGCAATCAGCACGTGGCTTGGGCACGACGTATCTAAATTAATTCAAATAGGCGTTAATTAAATTTAAACACTTTCTTTATAAATGCCCTTGTTTGTACGCACTTGTAGAGCAGCTCCACGGTGCGCTCGAAGCAAGCGAACTTCATCATGGTGTATGGGATTTGACGCATCCACAATGGCACCAGACCCTTGTAGAAGGCATTCACACCCTCCTCCTTAAGCATCTTGGGCACAGCCTGACGGAAGTTGTCGGCAAAGCCGGGCACCGTCTGGATCTTGACCTTGGCAGCCTCGAATGGCGCCAGGGCGATATCGGCAAAGAATTCAGCCGAAGCCGATGCCAGCAAGTAAAGGGTGGTGCGGTACAGATAGGAGTTCTCCTCACCCAAAAGTTCGGCATACTTTACTTTGAACACTTCATACAGACCGAATTTACACAGACCCTGTAATTAATAGCAGCAACAAAAAACACAAAACAACAACAATGGGTTAATGAGGTTTGCATTTGTTATCATGTGAGAGAGAAGGTTTGTCATGTTTCTGAGATTACGATAGGCCGCCTTACATAATTGGCCGACTTACCTGTGCAGAGTAACCCAAGAGGGTGGGGAACCAGCCCTTGGCCAGGCCACGAGCGCCCTCCTCCGCAATGGTGACCTTGAAGCCATGAATTAAATTCTTGTACTTGGCTGGATCCACCTGCAGGCGGCACTTGACCAAATCGAGGGGCACCACAAAGGTGTGTGTTGTGCCGCAGCTGAGAATGCCACCAATGCCGCAGAGAGCAAAGTATTTGCTGCTGCCAAATTCGCAAGAGTCCTTGTGGGAGACTGGCGTGGGCGTGGCGGCGGCAGCAATTTCACGTCCAAGCACCGGCGATGGCTCCGCCGCTGCAGGTATCAATGGTTTTGCGGGTGCACCATCGTCGCATTGCACGCGTGGGAGGCTGAAGGGTGTGCGGAACGGCGAGTTCTTGGCAGTTTCAAAGAAGTTGGAGAACATGGCGATGATTGTTGTTTCTATTGTTCTTGTTGGTGCTGCTCCTGATAACAATCTGCAAAGACACAAATAATTAACATACTTATTAACGATCGCTCATCTAATTTAATCAGCTGCTCAAGGTTCGTCACGGCACTCGACCACTTTTTTAGGTTACATAATGCCGTGTAAGATAGAATCGCGACGAGCAGAAAAATTCGCAAATTCTGCCGATTTTGCACTTACACTAGTAATTTAGTAACATATTACGACATAGCAATTTACAGACTACTAGATTTGATTACTATATCTTTTTCTTATGCAATTCTAATGATTTTTTCACACTTACAATATTTCTCAGCTCCGAGTTGGCCCGTGGCGAGGGATTCAAAGAATGAGCAATCGAAAAGGGAGACGACGCTTGCACATGTGTGTGTGTGTGTGTTTATGTGTATGTATGTCGCGTGTGTGTGCATGGCAGACTGCCAGGCCGCACATTTCGGTCACGTGTTGGCTGCCGATAACTATTTCGATAACTCGAAGATATGAACTAAGAAACTAGTTCGATTACGTGCGTTTCGTTTTAGGTAATTAAAATTATTTCTTGTTATTGTATTTGTTAGATTTTGAAAGTTTTACATTAAATGAAATGTTTACGTAGAACAATCGAGCTAGGCATTTTTTTTCATACTTAAGCCGCATAATAATTAAAAATTTTATTTCGTTTTTTTAACAATTAACACAAATTGAAATCGTAATTATATGTCTAAAACAAAATAAATCCGATTTTGTATTTACTGTAAATGCTTAACTTCTTTCAGCTGATTAATATTTAAAAAGGTAAAGCTTTAAATAAAATATAAAGGCTGTTTGTATTTTTACTAAGACTTGTTTAATGTATGTACATGTTTTTTTCAGCCAAAATAATAAACTGAAAAACAATAATAAGCTGAAAGAAACAAAATTATTTTATATTTCTCTATTATTTAAAAGCAAAGAGAACGCACAAGATCAGTTTTTCTTTTTAACATTTTCATGTATCGTTTTTTAATATTTTTTAATTCACAGAGATCATTTCATGAAATTAATCTACAAATTGTTTTACAACTATCAAAATATAAACGTGAATTTAAAGTACAAAATAAACGCAAATACTTCAAGGGTGTCCAGTAAAAAATATAAAACTATATTATGTAAGCACTTCAACTAATTTCCGCAAGGACTTCACACAATGCGCCGCACTCTCAAACGTTAGCATACGAGTTTGCAAATCCTTCAGTTTCTCCATATACGTGTGATGAGTTTTGGTGTTGATGCTTCTATATTTCACACCGTCAATTAGTTTGGCAGTCACATACGAGAGCCACATTACATTGGTTTTCGGCGAGAATTTGGTCCAATCGTTTCTAAAGAGAACGTTAAGTAAGTCTTTAATAATTAAAGAATAATGGGGATTACTCACCCGAGCTCTTCACGCATCATGCGATAAATGTCATACTGATAGTCGCCAGTGGCTGCAAAGAGCTCCTCATCGCTGGACAGGTCGTTGTAATGGCAACAAGTGTCGAAAGTAATCCTCGACAAGGTGTAATCAATTATTGTTAATCTCAGGCCCTTTGTGGGCACCGTCAGGCTAATGCCATTGAGTTTGTAGCTCAATTGCTTCAGAGTCGTCGGCTCGATGAGTATGTTGCCCCAATGCAAGTCTCTATGCTCGAACTGATAGGCCTCCTCGCCAACAGCCAGGGTCAGCATAATCTGAAGAGATAGAGAAATAATAAGAAATGCTTTTGGGTATTTAGCTGAGTTAGTTACCTGCTGAAGGGCATAGTAGGACTGTTCGGCATTTGTAAACGTAAATGTGGACATGTCTTGACCCGCAAATTTCAACTCTAGCACCACAAAGAGCTGATCGTCCATGAATACTTCGGGATGATCATTTTCCGATTCTTTCTCGTCGTCATATTTCTCCCAAAGCTCCAGTAAATGTGCGGGATATTTCCCTTTGACTAGGCAGACCTAAAAATACACAAAATTTATTATGTTGGAGTGTTACACTCAGAGAAAATGTTGCATGAAATTAATCTAAAATGTAACGCAATTAAAGTTATGGCATAATTTTGAAAACATATAAATTATTTGCTTCCAAATTTGTTTTTTTTTTCCTGCAGGGTTTGAAGAAGCAGTTCCAGAAAACTATATTTTATTACAGAATTATAATTGGTGTTAATTGAAGAAACATTTTATTTATAACATGCTTGTGGAATGTATCAAATTTGTGTGCAAATTATTTGCCTATCTGACCATAAATTAGCATTAATTTGTCCAACAAAAGATTATTTGCAATCATTATTTTTTACATTTTATTTATTTACAATCACTCTTAAGACAATAAGTAAATTTAGGTAGTTTATTTTTTTTTTAATTAACAAGAATAGAGACTTTCCAGTAAAAAAGGAAATCGAATGTTTCAAAACGAGTGAAATAAAATTAAATCATAATAACAAATTTCCATGACATACAAAAAATGAGTTTGAAGGTCTAATAAAGAGCTTGCAGAAAATCTATAGAGAATGTACTTTTGAATCAAATTGTGCAATATCTAGCCGAAAACATATCGGAAAGAGTTTTGTTGCAATTTTGCAGAATTCTACCGATTATTTCCCTGTTATTTATTTAATATATCAACAAATGATTCAGTCAATACAGTTAACTAATATTAAGTTATAATTTAATATTAAAAAAATAAGAAAGCCTCAATAATAACTATACAATAATGTCTATTAATGCCTCCGACACGTTGGGGGAGTTTTATTTGCCATTTTTGCCAGCTATGGCCCGATTCACAGCCATATGTTGTCAGAGACATTATGTGATTTAGATCACTAAAAAAATTGATTGTGATTGGAACTTCCTTACCTTGTAAATATCCACAAAGCCGGCTGTGGAATTCGTTTTGTTGGTTCGCAGATTGCACATCTCCTTGGATATAATAATTTCGGGTAGCATCTGTTCATAAGTCTTCTGCGCCTCTCCATTGATCTCAAGAGAACCCTCAATGGGTATAACTTTCAGGACTACATCGATTTTTGGCCTCTTTTTTACAGTATATTTGAAGACTTCGCCATAGACGCCTTCGCCAATTTTGCAGCTGTTGGGCATTTTTGTTGCCGCATAGACGTCGACGAAGGGCAATGGCTCGCTTTGTTCGCAATATGCGAGCAAGCGCTGTTCATGACTGATCTGCTCAATGGGCTCATCCTTGATGTAGATCGATTTGCGCCGTCCAGGCACGTTAAAGATGACGCCTACGCATTCCACTGAGCAGTCACTGGCGGGTGGGCAAGCAGGCAAAGATTTCTTGGGACCAGAGATACGCGCCGGCTCTTGCGCATGCGTGCGTCGCCAATGACAGAGCGATTTGCGCCACTTGCCCGGCTGTAGAATTAATGAGGAACGACTCTCCCTTCCATTCTGATCGGATGTGGCTTTGGAACGTCTGTGCTGCTCTAAATTTGTGGACTGCGACATATTCCGGCGATTCTGATCAGAATTCTTTTTGGAGGGTCGCCGCTGCTCTGGCGTTGCGGGCACATTACCAAAGCAGACGCGCTTGCGTGGCAATGGCGGCTCTTCAGTAACCGGCACTGTAATGGGAATGAGATGTGATGTTGAGATGTTGTTGTTGAGAAATGCTAGAAACCTACATTTGGTGACTACTTGTTGTGCCGTGCTTCCTTTGCGTGATACCAGCTTGGTGACTATGGGAGATATGCCACAATTGAAGAGTTCTGCGGACACACGCTTGGCACAAGGTGTGGAAATAGACGTGCAGAGTTGAAAATCGGGGGGCTTCAAGGATATGGATTTTTGGTTGGGAACACTGCTGATAACTATGTTTGGATTGCTATTTTCCACGCTGGAGTCCATGTTGAAAGAGGCTCGCACATCCCGCTTGAGAATGTTTAGCTCCCGCAGATGCCTGTGTATATTTAAATTTTAACGAAGTTTCAATTTGTTTACAAAAATGGGCGCGCATTGTTGTTGTTGGCTTACGGTATGGGATCCAGCAGTTTGTCAAAGGAATCTTTCCATGCGTCATCGGGTAGTGTGTGGTCCAAGCTTCGATGGCTCACAGACATAGTGTGGTGCAATAAAAGTTATTCAAAAATATATAAATTCGCGTCTATTTGTTTGTGGAGCTGGAGCGAGTCGTCAGAGCGATATGTTTGCTTGACTTGCTTGTCATCGCTAAGGCGTTCGAGTAGCCAACTGTTGGTTCTTATTCTTGCCATCTGGCAACCCTCAAGCGGTAACCAACAAATGCCATCACTTTCGCTGTGGCACAAAACAGCTGAACGCGTCGCGCGCTTTTTCCGTTTATACTTGTAGTTAGTTTAAGCGAATTTGAACGGTGTATTACATATTTATTCAGTTTAGAAGTCCGGTCGCTCACATTTATGTGCATTACGTACTTTAGTTGCAATCACAATTGCAAACCGGCTTTTCTCATCTCGCATCGAATAGCAACCGCAAAAAAGAAGAAGAACAAGGATTACCATAAAATCAACCGTAAAGGGCAACAACAAAAATTATGGCGCCACCAAAAAGAAACAAACATCGAAAATATTTTGTTTTTAATGCTGTTACTAAGAGCAACACATGCTCCTTCGGAATTTGCGGAAAAATTGTCATTTGCCGTTTAATATTTACAAGGTACATTATTCAATTTCAAATACATATGTATGTATGTAATTAACCCCGCTCCGTCATCCTTCGTCAAAACGACGACGCGAGATTTTAAGTCGCAACGACACTGACCATCAGGTCATATGTCATATGTATTTATATATAAGTATAGCGAATGAAAATAGGTCTACTAATGGATAATCGTATTTATATACAGGTTTTTTATTTATTTATTTATTAGAGATAGAATCAAAGAACTCGGTTCTATTGTTATTATAATATAATGATCAAATACAGTTAAGTACATATATTAAGGTAACTAGTCAGGTTTCTATTAGCACGGCTTGTACATTGATATCTTAAGTTCTATACATATTTATATACATACATTTTGTTTTAGAAACCGTCCCATTCTAACCGTCTAATTCTATGATTTCTAAAGTAATATTTGAGATAAGGGAGATGGGGTCTGAGTTGGCTGGGAAATTGTTTCAATACTATATTGATAGGTTTCTTTATGGTCGGCTCGATGTAGGGCTTATTTGGATATATTAGTGCAAGCTTCGTTGGAAATTTGGCTATTGGGTCAGCTTTTTCTGTGCCTGTTTGAGGATTCATAACAATTTCTTGTGGACTTTAGTGATGACGATAATATTCCAGCAAATATCGTGCTTCCCTGGCTTTTGAATGCATAATTTTATTGAGTATCGGTATTATTTCAGCAGATCATACGGTTGAATTTTCAATAAGTTTTTTTTTTCAATTAAGATGAAAAAGCCTGTAAAAGTGCAGTCAGTTCGTGACTGAGTTGTGAGTTCCCGAAACCCTGAATCGATCATCAATTTAATTTTCTTTTTATTAAAATTTTGCTTTGAGTTTTATATGTTTATTTTTGTAATTTACGTAATTATTTTACACACAGGTACACGGTATTTCAAAGTCGAGGCAGCCGACTTTAACTTTTTCACTTGGTTCTTTTTCAATGTTGTTTATTTTATGAAATTTGTATAATTAGTCTACATATAGGTACAGGGTATTTTTTTTTTTAATGTTTTTTAAAATTTGTTTTCTTTTATATTTAATTTCCCCGTTTAAAGGGGAGTGTTTTAAGACCCATTACGTAGCCGTGTTGGACCAAAAAATCCGGCATAGGCCCATTTCTAGTTTTCGTTTAGAACTCAACGGCCGTACCGGGTAGTAGGATGTTAAAGGGCATTCGCACGGCAATTCAATCGTTTAATTTAAGATTTTATTTAAGATAATTTATTGAAGAAATGTCTCCCTTTATAAACGACACAAACAAATTCGGATGCTCTTGTGTAGGGTATACGAACAGCTGTCTCCAGCGACTGATTGGGTTTCGCAACAGCTGAGTGGGACCGGCCCACTCAAAACTTGAGCTTAAAGTCGCGTGTTAAGTGTGTAACTCCAATGCAGTTTAATGCAGACCCTCTCTCTCTCTCTCTTGCCTGCGCTCTCACTGCTGTAGTAGCTCTCTCTATTTTGTGTGTTTCGCTCCCACGTGCGCTCAATCGCTGGCTGCGCTTTGGACTTTTTCTAAGCGGCTTAAACCAACAGCTTTCGCGTTGACCACAGGTTTATTTATTTGTTGTTGCTTTTTTGTATTGTTTTTTTTTTTTTTTGAGTCAGGTTTGCTGCGCTGTTGTTGTAGTTGTTGTTGTTGTTGTTAGTGAGTTTGCTGCTGCTTTTGTTTCTGTTTTTTCTGCGTGTTCGCTCGCTGTTTGCTGTTCGCTGCTCGCTTGTTGGCCAGACGCGCGCCACAGTTTGAGTTTGGTTCGTTGCGCGTTCGCACACGCGCGCGCTTTTTCTTCTCGTTCGTCTTTTTGTCCGATCGTCGTCTCCCGTCTGTACGGCGTGGCCAGAGTTTTTCAGTTTTGGCATCCGAAACATTTGCAACGTGTTGCGAGCAACGCGGCTAATTTTAAGGCGGTGCAAAACCTACAACAACAACAGCAATACCATCATCATCATCAGCAAATAATTGAGCAATTAAAGCGAATATAAGCAAAGTGCTTCACATAAAGTGCGCAAAGTTTTCGTAAAGAAAGTGCAAACAGTTTACGTTTCTTCAAAATTGTTGCTACTACCAATCAAAAAAAAAATGTGTTCATTCTTTGTTTTGTGAGTGCCTTTGTGAATAAATGGATAATTTCACCATCTAACTGGGCAAGTTTGTCGATTTATTTGAATGGACCCCAAGGTAGGAAAAAGTTTAAAACCCGTAAATAAAATAAGTTGTCTGTAGAAAGTGAGTAGGCTGTTGATGGGCGACTAGAACATAAGCCGAAAAACATGAATTAACATAAATAAAAGCAACATACTAAAAATTAGGCAAGCTACACATTGAGAGAATAAATAAATAAATAAATAAATGCCCATAAATGCAAATATGCACATGTATATTGGTAGAAAAGTTGAGATAATACATAAGATAAAATAAAAAATGCTTCACTAATGTTTACTTTATGATGAGGATAAACAAAAAACAATCACAAAAAGAAAATGCGTACACAGTTGCGTTCCAGTTTCGATTTGTCTGGATTTTACGATTCTTGCAAAATGTCTAAAGAGCTTATTCGAAAATTGCAAAGCAAGCGCTAGACTTTTAAGGAATACTTTGAGAAATGTATAGTATGATTCGTTTTATAAATTTTAAAAATTAATATGTTTAACAAATGTAATGGCTCAACTGTTATCGGTGTTTATAGGGACGAACAGATTGACAAAGGTGTGGGAATTGTGCAACTATTAGGGCTCTCCAAGAAATATGTATCTGCTGTTAAAAATAGAATTTATTAAATATATATTCAATAAATTAGAATTGTTGTTCTTTCTTTTAACAAATCTATGTAAGGATCGCTTCCAAATTTAAGGAATAAATATGCTGCACTTCATTTTAATAAATCTATTAGGAAATTACGGTTGCTAAAAAAGCAATTTACGACAATTGCAATTTATTTTAAAATGTCTCAAAAGTCGTATTCTGTATTAAATAATATTTTGTGTTATAAGATAGATATCACTACAGAAATTTTGTTATTTGTATGTTTAATCAATTCTCTCTAATTGACATTCTTCATACAAAATTATTATTTGTAGAAAGGGTTCTGCATTCAGTAAGTCATCGCACTTCAATTGTATATTAAGCTTCAGATGATAAATAAATATAAATTACCAAAAAATATATAACAAATGTAAATGAACAATATATTTCAATTTTAATGATTCTTCTGGAGGGTCTTTACAGATATTTACCATTTCATATATATTTGTGTCTATACCCATCGCAGTTGAGCGATAATGTTTACAGATTTATCTTTCAAGTATTTCTCAACTTCAGTTAAAGCAATGTGTTAAGAGAGAAGCTTTTAAATTGATATTTCTGCGTATACCCTTATAACTTAGTGAATAACTAACTGACTAACGACTTGGCGGGTGACAATAAAAAAGAAACCCATGGCCCTGCAAATGTCAAATGTATTATTAGTCTATAGCGCCAGTTAATGCCTGAAGAGACTCGGCAAATCTAGATTCATGCCATGTGGTTGTATGAACGCGCCTTGCTATTCCAGTTCATAACGCCTTTAAGTCCACATTCAACACCAGTTTTCGAACAAGCTTCAAATTGTCGACTTCCTCGGTGCCGAGTCATTAGCTCGTCGTTTGTGTGCCCACTCAGTACCGCTATGCGTCGCCTCATATATACTATGTATACCTATACAAACATACATACATCCATACATATATCTGCAACCATTAGCCTCCACATGAGCACTAACAACAGCAATAGCAACAACAACACCAAAAACATTGGGAGCAGTTTCGACTCGGCCCGGCCCCTTCACTTTTCGCAAAACGGAAAAGTTGCCACAGCAAGTGCATTCCACTGGCCGAAAGTATCTGCAGTTTTGCATCTTTTTTGCAGACGAGGACAACTTAAATGTGCGTCTGCGTGTGTGCCTTCTAACTGTAAATTGAAGCATGCCGGCACTCTGCCTTCATTCCCCTTCGAAACCGATCGCTCGTCGCATTTCTTTTGTTGCCGTCAAGTTCAATGTGCGTTGACAATTTTCCATTTCCAATGGGCTGCCGTTTCCCACTCGGATTTTTCTGTACTTTCACATATCGACGCAACGACACTCCACGCTAGTGTCTAATTCACAGCTCAATACGATACGAAAATATACTAGATATGTCATTGTTGGAGATCTAAAAAGAAGTTTTCCAATAGATTGAGGTATTATATATTCTATTAATTATATGATATGCTCCGGAAAAGTGTAAGCTGTGAAAATTTTAGGGAACATCTATTCCACCAAAGTTCGTTTAAATATCTGAGCGATTTATTATTAGCTTGAAAGTGCAGACAATATAATTGATCTTAATAACTCTAAAAGATAATGCTAAAGTAGGAATTTTCTTTTCTACCAAAGTCTTTTGCATCACAAATTTTCCATTGGGCTTAAATTGTTCGACTTTAATATAATTTATACTCGTACAACTATAGTTAAGAATTGGTTTTGGTATGTTTCTATAGCATCTATATAATAGAGTGCTCTGATATTGAAACTTTAAATTATGTTGAGAAACTTGTAAATATCAACTTCAATTTCGATATCGTAACAAACAATTTGATGTTTAATTCTGTTGCATTACTGCACGAATACTATTATTCGAATTTTAAATTCCATATTATTTCTTCGTGTTAAGAGGGATTTATTCCCCAATCGTTTCTATGAAAATATTGAAAAACCTTATTTTAATTAAAAAAGTACACTTTGTCTTCAAACAGAATCCATAAGTGATGCTTTTTGAGTGCACTAAGTAATTGTATGTTATTGTTTTTATTTTTTTTAAAATTATGTTCAACATAATTGGTTTTCAGAATATAAGGACCTAAATTTATTTATAACTTCAAATATTGAAGTTATGAACAACTCTTTTTCTTTTCAAGTAGCACAAAGAAATTTAGTACCATAATATTTTGGGGTTTTCTGAATTCTCATATTATTTTATACAAATTGTGTAAAATTTAGTTCAGATTTAGCTTATAAAAATCTATTAATAAATATAAAGAAAAAGAAATAAATGAATCGAAACACAACATTTGAATTCTGGGTATGCAGAACCAATTTTTAAACAATTTCTTTCAGTTTATAAAAGCATATTTTATTCAAAGTTTTTCAAACAAATGCACTGCCGAAAGGGTTAAGGTACTCGTACTATTTTTTTAGTAAATATGCTTAAAAGTGTGAACTCAGTGAAAAGAATTCGATGCGTTTTCATTTTATGGATTTGCTTCATGGCTGTATTAATTATATTGCCCACCGGTGTGTTATGATTTTTTCCTTTGTTGTTAAAAAACTTACTTACTACTTACATACATATAGTATATGCATTGAATTATGTTTAACCCTTTTGGGTCAAAATAAGCACACTTAAAAACGAAAAAGTTCATTTAGAATAACATTTAAAGAATTATTATCCTTTTTTAAGCGACTTAAAGTAAATTATTTGAATTTGTTCCTTATGATTATAACAAATTTCTTCGAGACCTTATAGGAATTGACTTCCTTTTTGATTTAAACACCATTATAAACTATTATTAACTTTTAAGATTTTTGATTTAGCCACTTTAAGTGCAATGTATCTTCAAAACTTTATTTCAAGTATAAATGACAAATCCAACTGAAATGTTGCTGATTGTAAAATTTCGTCACTGCATGTGCGAGTGTGCAGCATTCCCATTGTATTTGCGCAGTTGTGCGTGTGATTTTGTGCTTTAATTTATTTTAAATCGAACCCACAGCTAATCAGCGTACCAACGAAGACAAAAAGTATCTCAATTGTTTGCCATTCAACCCGGAACTGTCTTTAGTTGTGCACAGACATGTACATAGTATATACATATTTTAACTGTACATAAGTATACATACAAACATCTGTGTTTAGTCTGCCACTCGATAGCTAATCGTTGTGCTAAGATCTACACATAAGTGTATAAAATGTTGCAGTCAGATTTGAAAATGAATAAATCATTTAATACTTGTATGTAAGTTAAATGCAAGAGCGCGCATTATTTTTTATTTCAATTTTGTATTTATTTGTGTTTTTTTTTTTTTGTTAATTTAACATAAATGTTTGTGAAAGCGCAAGTCGTTTGTTGTTGTTGTGTTGTTTTTATTTTGTTGTTGTTTGTTTTGTTTTCATTGTTGTTGTTGTTACTGCGGAGTGTAATTTTTACACTTTTACCGCAGTTGGGGCTGTATTTGTTTGAGAAAAAGATACTTTTACATATGCCGGATTGGTGTTTATATCTTTTCACCAGTACCACAACGTCGCCATCATCATCATCATCGCGTTAAAGCCGCTTAATTGAAAGTCTTGACTTATGACTCGAAGTAAACGTGCTGGCAAAACGTTGGTTGGAAAAATGTTTTTCCAGCTGCGCGCTTACGAACAAAAAAATAAAGAAAATGCATTTCTATAAACAGCTGAATTGGCTATCGAGTTGAGTATGCGCGCATGCTAAGCACTTTAATTTGAAGTGAAAAGCTAAATGAAAACTTAAGCAATAAAAAAGTTGCCAATGTGTGGAAAGAGGATCCCAAATACAAGCCTCCAGTTAATGGGGAAACATGCAAAAACATACAAACGTGAAGACATTAAAAATGTAGTTTTGAAATGAAAACTTCAAATGTAGGATGCAGAAAAAAAAACCTATAAATAACAGATTTACTGTAATTCTCAACTCATTGAACTTAAACTTTTTCCCTTCCACAATTCAGCCACTTGTTTTTATCAAGGTTTCGAAAAACCCGACCAACCACAAGTGTCTAAATATTATAAGATTTGGAGCAGACATTACTATTAAAAGTTTTTTACTATAAACAAAATTCTCAATATGAGACCTGATTGTGCAATTGTCAGTTGCTTTACACTTTGAATAATGCTGTCTTATGGAACTACTCTGAAAGTCCTCAAATGTTATCTTCACTCAAGGTTCACAAAATTTATAATCGAAAGCTTAACAAAAGATACCAAAACATTCTTCTTAAACCACGAAAGCTACAAATAATATTTTCAGTTGTGCAATAAACTAGCCTATATATGCTATTGCCAGTTTATGAAAACCTCGAACGATTAACCTTATATTTAACACAATCGTGTCTTATGGAACGACTTTAAAAGTGTCCAATT